GGCTGGTACTTCATCATTCGTGGAACAAAAAGAGTAATTATTGCCCAGAAGGACAAAGCGACCAACAAAATTTGAAAGCGGATCCTTGACCTTAATGGGGCATCCAGAGTGCGATTGTTCAAGTCAGTCGCTGACTTGCATAGCGGCAGCCGACATATTGCAGATGACATTCACACCAAAGTTAGAAAAGTAGTGAAGTCATCATTAAAGCAATGTCATCCTAGCTCTACTTGAGAGTTTGGATTTACCTGCGTTTCCTTTCTAGCAGTCAGTATGGGGCGGAATGAAAGAACTTCGCAACGCATCTCATCAAGTCGAAAAAGTCGAGACAGTCCAGTCGTCTGACAAGCAGAGTGGAGATACTTTAGTCAGACATCATTTAAGCGTCACATTGTGTATAGGTCATGCTTTTATCCTTTTGTTGATAAGTGTTGATTGAAGTAAAGACAACCCTTGTCGTGTGCATGATTGTGTTAAATATATAGGTTGATAAGTCAACCTACATTGAGCTGAATCTTCGTTTGAAAACATTTTGTCTGATTAACTCTTGATCGTCTTTGAAAGAAGGGACTAGGATTGATTGAGATATTCTTACGCTTGGAATATCGCGTCATAGTCGACCGACGTACGTTCTGATTCCTGGGAGATCAGCGCCCCAGGGACGGACGACGTTCGGGTCCACTTTTGCATTCAACCATGCGTACCTATGCTACAGCGAACGAGCAAACGCCCTCAGCTGACCTACCTCTCCAATTGCATTATAAAAGCCTTCGCACATGGGCCGGTAGCTCGGCGGGGATACGCCCCTAAGGGTGGTGACAGCCCCTTAGGGAAGGTAAGTTGTGCCCCGCGATAACCTATCCTGTCGTAGAGGACCGCGGGATGTACAGCTGGCGCACTCGGCCGGAGCGGCGAAGGGTCGACGCAGGTTATCGTGTCGTCCCCGAGTTGTCTCTAAAAGGTGGAAAGCCTTAGTTTCTCTTACGTGACGCGGCCAGGACGGCCCTCGCTCGCACGGGGGCCGATGCGCTTGACAGCGTGGCACGACAATCCATCTGTTTCTACGAGGTAGATGTGGATGGCGTCCCGGCTATGAAGATGGAGGTCGGCCTTGGGTTCTTTGGTGATGTGTTGGGCCACGTGCTGATTTACATAATGAAGGTTGGGGATGTAATCCTCAATCAATTGGGCGCCCATCCGGTTGATCTAGCGGGGGAGATTGTATTGCTTTACGTCTCCACCCTTGCTGACGTGTACGTAAACCGCCTAGATCCGATATCGTTTTGGAGGTGCATTCTTGATCCGCTGTTGGTGGGCAGGCCGTATCTGCATGCAGAAGTCAGACCTTGATTGCCTGACAGAGGATTTAGGACAACGGACGACCGTTATTTCTGCTGGATGTGCAACAATGTGGAGAGAGAGAGAGAGAGAGGGAGAGAGAGAGAGAGAGAGAGAGAGAGAGAGA